TGGAGTAAATCCGTGTCTCAAGTGGTAGAGCACCAGCTTTGAGCAAATAAAAAAAAAAGCTCAGATTACAGTGCTCAGGTCACAAATTCAAGACCCAGGACTACCCCCCCCAAGAAAAATAAACCAAGACCATTGTAGTTGACAGTTGTGATACATACCTGTAGTCCCAGCACTCAGAAGACTAAGGTAGGAGGATTGCCATTTTGAGGCTCTCTCTCTGTTTCTTTCTCTGTTTTTTTTTTTTTTGCCAGTCCTGGGGCTTGAACTCAGGGCCTGGGCACTGTCCCTGAGCTCTTTTGCTCAAGGCTAGCACTCTACCACTTTGAGCCACAGCACCACTTTCAGTTTTTCTGGTGGTTAATTAGAGATACAAGTCTCACTGACTTTCCTGCCGGGGCTGGCTTTGAACAGCGTTCCTCAGATCTCAGCCTCCTGAGTAGCTAGGATTACAGGCGTGATCCACCAGCATCCGTCTTTGAGGCCATCTTGAACAACACAGTGAAATTCTGTCTCAAAACGGCAAAAAGAAAAGAAACAAAAAGACCATTATGTCAGGTCCTTAAAAAGCTTTCTGCTAATTCTTCATTTTTAGAATGCTGTTCATTTATTCAACAGCTAGTTGCCTCCTAGCCATTCTTCCAGGCTATGCTCAGAACACAGACACAAAAGTGAATAAGACATTATCCTTCCTCTCAAGCACAGTCATAATATAAACAATGAAAAATAATGAAATACTGTTTTCATTTTTTAGTCTACTCATAATGAATAAGAGCAGAGACATTAACCAGATTTTAAATTGCCTTGCTGTATAACATAATGAAATCTTAGCCTTAGTGTGATTCACCACTCTTAAGAATATAAGGAGCTTCATTTTAACATCCTCTAGACTTGTGTATTCATTTGTACATGCTCTCTGTATTTATTGGGTATGTTTATATATGTATATACATATGTATGTAGTAAGACAGTACTAATACGCATGAATTTGCTATATTGTGTTATTACTCTCAGTCTTGTAATTATACTAATAAACAATGTGAATGTGAGTGTGTGTGTGTGTGTGTGTGTGTGTGTGTGTGTGTACGTGCACGTGCCAGTCCTGGGGCTTGAATTCAAGGCCTACGTATTGTTCCTGAGCTTTTTCTGCTCAAGGATAGCACTCTACCCCTTCAGCCACAGCTCTACCACTCCTCCTCTCTCTTTTGGTGGTTGATTGGAGATAAGCGTCTTAACAGACTTTCTTGTCCAGGCTGGCTTTGAATCCTCAGATCTCAGCCTCCTGAGTAGCTAGGATTACAGGTGTGAGCCACCAGCAGCCAGCATGTTTTGTTTTTGAGGGAGGTTCTTACTATGTAGCTCAGACTGGCTTGAAATGTGCTATGTAGCCCAAGCTGGGCTTGAACTCTTGATTCTTTAGGCTCAGCCTCCTGTGTGCTGGTGATAACAGTAATGTATCACCATACTAGACTCATAACTGTCATAGATTATCAATAGTTTGTAGGTTGAACTGCAAGCTTTTATCACTAGCTTTTGTAGAGGTGCAATGCCTTATTGCCAAGAGGAGGATTTGGAGTCATGGTGGGATTCAAGTTTCAGCTCTATGGCTTATTCTCAGTGTGACTTACATAAGGGAGTTATTTCATCTCTGTGCTTTACTGTTTTCATCTACTAAATGGCTATGGTGATTGTTTTAGAGGCTTAGGAAGATTAAATGAATAAATACAAAGCACTTAGAGGAGTTTCTGACTTACCTTAAGTGTTTTTTGTTTTTGTTTTTGGTTGTGAGGTTTGAACGCTGGGCCTGAATGCTGCCCCTCAGCTCTTTAGCTCAAGGCAAGCGCTCTACTACTTGATCCACAGTGTCACTTCCGATTTTCTGGTAGTTTATTGGAGATTTTCCTGCCCTAGCTGGCTTTGAACTGCGATTCTCAGATGTCAGCCTCCTGAATAGCTAGGATTACAGGCGTGTGCCACCAGCACCCAGCAAGTGCTTTTTTTTTTTTTTTTTTTTTTGACAGCACTGGATTTTGAACTTAGGGCCTTGAGTTTACTAGGGAGGTATTCCACCACCTCAGGTACTCCATCAGTCCTTTTTGAGTTTGGCATCTTTGTGGGGGGGCAGGGGGGAAGGGAGTCATGGTGAACTCTGGGCCTAGGCACTGTCCTTCAGCTCTTCAGCTCAAGGCTAGCGCTCTACCATTTGAGCCACAGCACCAATTCTGGTTTTTTTTTGCTTATGTGGTGCTGAAGAATAAAACCCAGGGTCTCATGCATGCAAGACAAGCACTCTACCACTGAGCTACCTTCCCAGCCTGAGTTTAGCATCTTTGAGATAGAATTTCACCCCATGCTCAGGGCAGCCTGGACCAAGATCCTCCCATTTGTGTTTTTCATGTAGTGACAGGCATACACCACCATGCCCAACCATTGGTTGAAATGCACTCTTGTCCATTTTTGCCCAGTCTTTACTCAAATAATGACCCTCAAATAAGGATCTCTATCTCCCAAGTAGCTAGGATTATAAGCTTGAGCCCATACTTTAAGTACTATTTTTAACGTTCACAGAGCTAGCAACAAACAGAGTTATCACATTTTGCACTTATGAAGCTGAAATTTAAAAAGGCTCAGCACCTTGCCAAAGGCCATAGGAAAACTGTAATTCAGACTTAGCCCAAATTCAGATAGTAATGCACTTTGGCAAATGTTATTCTCCCTCTCTATTTTTTATTTTGGCTTGAGTCTGGCTTGAACTCAATCCCTTATGCTTTCATTCATTGGCTAGTGCTCTATCAACCGAACCATGCCTCCAATCCCAAGGGTTGGTTATTTCTCTCTTATGTTATTCTCATTAATCTGCTACTTTTGATTTTTAAGATAAACTGCACAGGTAATCAATTATTAGAATTAATTGAACCCTAAGAGATGTTAAAAATGGAATAAAATTGTTGTGTTTAGATGTTTATAATGGAGACTCTGCTAGAAATCAAGAGATCTACCTAGTTCTAATTTTGATCAAATAATGTTCGTGTGTTCTCCACACCTTTAAATGAAGAGTTTATATGTGATAATATGGAAAAAAATTTCCACCTCAAGTTCTGTGATTCATATTTATTTAAGACAAAAGCAAGCCGGGTGCTGGTGGTTCATGCCTGTAATCCTATCTACACAGGAGGCTGAGATCTGAAGATTTCATTTCAAAGCCAGCCCAGGCAAGAAAGTCTGTGAAACTCTTATTTCCAATAAACTACTCAGAAAACCGGAAGTGGTGCTGTGGCTCAAGTGGTAGATTGCTAGCCTTGAGCTGAAGAGCTGAGGGACAGTGCCCATGCCCAGAGTTCAAGCCCCATAACTGACAACCAACAACAACAAAAGACAAAAGCAGTAAACTCTGAAGTAAGCAGCTAACACTGCAGATTGTTGTTAGTAGTGGTCATAGGGCCTGAACTTAGGGCCTAGGAACTGTTCCTGAGTTTTTTTTCACTCAGCTAGTGCTCAACCACTTTGAGCCATAGCTCTTTCTGTTTTCTGGTGATTATTTGGAGATAAGAATCTCCAATTGTCAGAACTATAGTCCTCAGATCTCAGCCTCCTGAGTAGCTAGGATTACAGGTGTGAGCCACTGGCACCTGCCTAGATTTTTTTTATCATACCTTTGTTTATAAGTGGAGGAGGGGTGCTTATTGTGACATTCTCATATATCTCTACAATGTTTTACACCTCCATCTCACCTCCTAACACAGCAGATTCTTGATGAACAGAAGTACTATAATTTGAGTAAGATCAAGGTGTTTAATTTGCAAGAGCACCTATTTTGTATATTTAACAAACAGCCAGGAGCACTGACTGCCTCACAACTGTAATCCTTGCTACTTGAAAATCTGAGATTGGGAGGATTGTGGTTCAAAGTCAGCCTGGGAGGAAAGTTTGAGGTCTCTCAACTCAACTAATAAAAAGCTGTGTTAAAAGCAAAAATAGGATTGTGGTCTAATCTTGCCTAAAAGTAAGATTCTATTAGAAACTAATGAAAAGTAAAAACAGGCTGGGGGAATGACTCACATGGTAGATGGCCTACAAAAGACCCTAAGTTCAAACCCTAGTATCACAAAAGAAAGATGTATAATGAACACTATTTTTACTAGTAGAAATATGAAAATTACAATCTAGGAATGTTGTAAATTCTTTCTATCTATGAGTGGGAAAACCATCTTTTCAGTTAAACACAGACTGAGTGTATAAAAACAAAGATTTATCTTGTGAATCTCTTCAGGGCACACACACACACACACACACACATGCTTAGCCAGGGAAGAGATTAATGTAAACATCTTTTCACTAATTACAGAGATTAGGAAGTGGCTGCATGAACTATTTTCCAAAGGATAAACATTACAGATTGAACACGGCAGCTCACTAAGAAGATCGTACTAACTTGGGGGTAAGTAGTTCTAAAGTTTCCTTTTCCTTAAACTCGCCCGTGAGTACCCTTAACCTGGGCAATATAGCTTTCTGAAGATAGCAGCTAAGAATACAATCAGTTGTAAGCCCAGCCAATCCACTTATGGAGCAGTTACCAGTGACCTAGATTCATGGACAGCCTCTGTCTTGAGTCTGTTTGGTGTGACAATTTTGATGGATTAAGCTGGCAGAAACCCTCTGTCTAGCTACAAACAACACTCACCCCAAGCTTTCTGGAAGTAACCCTGAAATTTGAGCATATCTGACAAAGACTCCTGGAACATCTGGACTAGAAGGCTTTGAGATTCTCTTCTTCTGAGAGCCACTTGAGGTACAAAGATAAATAATGACAGATTCTACTAAAAATCACGTTAGTGTCTTGCTGTGTTAGACAGGAAGGCTGAGGCCCGGGGTGGGGACTGGAGCTGCTCAAGGATGAGACAAAAATGAGGCAGTGCTGGGCCCAGAGCTCCGCCTGTTGTGCCACAGCCTGTATCCTTGCCCACTGCATTGTGTTTTTGTTCAGGTTTCCTACCCCTGTCAAGGATGTCAGTCCTGGCAAGTTCTCAAAATGTAAGCTGCGCTTCTGGGAAACCCCATTTTTTCAATGGTAGTGGTATGAATGATATGTCTGCGTGATGAGTTTTCCCTGTGCTCTCGTAGTAGACAGTTCTTGGAGCCAGGCTGGTCATAACTCAAAGACAGTTATCTGTCTGAGCTCTTTAAGCAGACCTCCAGAAGTACTTTAAGCAGACCTCCAGAAGTAGTGGCTGGGCAGTCCACTTGTCTCCTCAGTCCTTGATTTAAGGGACAGCTGCTTGTGGATAACACAGGACCTTCAGTAGCTGAGATTTTCCCTAAACAGATTCTTCAGTGCCAGCAAATGTCTCTTCTTGGTGTATCACCATTCTTAGTGAACCAACAACTTGGTACATGCTTACAAGGTGTTTCCTGAGTTAATGAAGAATATCTCAGAATCATAATTCGTTCTTCCTTTTAGTTCTAGCCTTGTTTGTTGATGGAGCCAATATAAGTAAATTGGAAAACAATTTGTATTTGGATATGTATCACCAAGTTATTAATTGCTAGATCAGTTAGAAAGAATGATATTATGTTTTTGCAAATCCCTTTCATGTTTGGCTGAAATGGAACACAAGTTTTTTTCTTATCTGCTTCTACATTCCGTCTACTACCATATGTTGCTTGTGTTGAAGTATAAAAGAAAGTAAGAGTGAGGTGCCCATGGCTCATGCCTATAATCCTAGCTACTCAGGAGGCTGAGATCCTTGGATCATGGTTCAACGTCATCCAGGGTAGGAGAGTCTGTGAGACTCTCATCTCCAATTAAGCACCAAAAAAAGACAGAAGTAGAGTTATAGCTCAAGTGGTCTAGTACTAGCCTTGAGCAACAAAACTCGGAAGCAGTGCCCAGGACCTGAGTTCAAGCCCCAGGTCTAGCACCAAAAAAAGAAAAAGAAAAAAGAGATCTTGCAGACTCTCTAAAAGTCTCAGGAACCCTTACCCCTCTTTCTTTTCTTTCTTTCTTATTTTTGTATTGCAAGATCTACCTGAAAAAAATAACTGAAACAAACAAAAAAGAGGCTGGGGGCATTTCTCAAGTGAAACTTAACAAGTGAGAACCTTTTTCGGGTAGGATTTTGCAATTTTGCCTGGAGATCAATACTGGACTGTGATTCTCCTATCCGTGGCCTGTCCAAGGTCTGGCCTTGACAAAAAGCATGAGAGCCTATCTGAAAAATAGCTAAAGTAAGAAAGGACCGGAGCCTTGGCTCAATTGAAAGAGGTCTTGCCTAGCAAGCACAAGCACTGTCAATTGACAGTGCTGCCAGAAATAATTTTTTTTTAAAGATTTAACCTAACCATACTACCATGCTGTGCCTAATAAATTTTACAATATGCTTTCTTCTCTTTACTAAACAGGGAACAGAAATTCTGGCAACTACAAGGAATGCTGCTACTCAGATGCCAACTGAAACAAGCTCCTCAGAAGGTTCCGGGTACACTTGGTGTTGTGATGGGGAAACTGCAGAGCAAACTCAAACACAGCACTTACAAGTACAGGTACAGCAATGCTGCCTGGGCAACTAACTCTTACCGAGACCCATTCACATTCTCTTACATAATGAGTTTGTATAATGTAGCCTAGACCTCATAGGGAGATCCTGTCTCAACAAGCAAACAAAGAAACAAACAAAACAAAAACCCTCTACTAAAGGAAGAGAATGTGCAGAGCCACTGTTAATGACCTTCCCTTCCTCCAGTAGCTTGGTCTGCTTCCCTTGTGCATAGGAAATAGTGTCTGCTTCTTAGCTAGTGTCTACCCAGCACATGCAGGGGCCCTGCAGCTTTGGGATTTGTTTCTAGAATGAGTAAAGACTCTTGCCGAGTTCTCTCTTCCTTTTTTTCTTTTTTAATTTTTTTTATAGTATGAGGATTTGGATTCAGGGCTTTGGTCTTGGTAGGTAGGTACTACCACACTCTCTCTACACTTCTAGCCATTTTTATTTTGAATAGGGTCTTGTGCTTTTGCCTGGACCATTCTGGACTGTGATTTTTTTTTTTAATTTTTTTTTGTCGGTTGTGGGGCTTGAACTCTGGGCCTGGGCACTGTCCCTCAGCTCTTCAGCTCAAGGCGAGCGCTCTACCACTTGAGCTACAG